ACCTGTAAAGATATATTCCCGCCCCACTCACGGGTCAAGAATAGGTCAAGGTAAGGCAATGGTAACTCAAAATCATGGGTACGGCTGAAGCCACTATCGTCGAAACACCTACGTGAAAGATAGCACCTCATTTGTAACTCAACTGAGCATGGACGACATGACTGCGCTATAGAAACCTACATTAACTAGCCATCATGTTCCACTATATTCCTAATTTTTCTATGGTTGTCACTTGGCATGGGTATTGGGCCTTTTACCTCTTGTAACACCCACCCAGAGAGACAAAGAAACAACAATACCACTAACATATTGAAAGCGGTAAAATGCATGCACAAACATATGCAAGTAGTGTATATAAAGTTGTAAATAACTGGAAATAAATAAACATCCAAAGTAGCAAACAAACAAGAGCTATGATCAACTCCGGGATGGACCAGCAATAGGTCAATGTTTTCCCTAGTGAAGTTTCCAGCTGAAACAACCGACCGAACCGTCATCTGATATAAAATCAATAGTCACCACTGAACGTCTTTTATCCCGCCGAAAGGGAAAGGTGAACATCGAGTAAACTTGAAGGGGTGAAATCACGGTCTTGAGACCATAGAGATCAGGTAAGGGAGTCTGTTACGCGGGGGGGAAGGTATTAGCACCCCACATACCCGTAGTACTCTACGGTATCCACTCTTGTTGTTCTAATCTAATGGGTATGGTCAAAATCTATATCTAAGCTTAATAACTAAAAGAAAATGCAAATAGGGAATTCATGCAAAATAAAAGAGAAAATAATGTAGGGAAAATAAAAAGTTGTGCTTGTTTGGACCCTACCCCAATGCCTATGTATCCCTTTTAAGGAATCACATCAGTCGTAGTTTGGCTCACATGTTTGGGCTGATTTGTGTTTTTTAAGTTAAAAAGACAAAAGCGATAATCAAGATGACAAAATATCAGATAAAATGACAAAACATCAGCAACGATGGTAAAACATCAAAACAAGGATGACAAGACATCACATAGAAACACAAACTTAGATAAGATGGTAACACATCAGCATGATAGCAAAATATCGGATAAAATAATAAAACATCACACCTAACAATGATATAAAAAATCGAAGTAGGATAACAAACATAAGAAATGGTGAAACATCGGTAAAAAGATAGTAAAATATCATGGCAAAGATGACAATACATCAAAACTTAGATGATAAAAACATCACACTTATCAATGATATTGAAGATCAAAGTAGGATAACAAACATGCGCGATGGAGAAACATCGTCACAAAAATAGCAAAGCATCATGGAAAGTATGGCAAAAAATTTACAATTAAGATGATGAAACATCACACCTAACAATGATATAGAAAATAAAAGTAGGATAATAAACATATGCAATGACAAAGCATCGGCAAAAGATAGCAAAATATCATGGCAAAGATGACAATACATCAAAACTTAGATGATAAAACATCACACCTAACAATGATATTGAGAATCAAAGTAGGATAACAAACATACGCGATGGCAAAACATCGACACAAAGATAGGAAAGCATCATGGCAAAGATGACAGTAAGATGTTAACTTAACAAGAGTTTATAACAGAGCCCAAAGGCGCACAAACAATTAAGATTGGTTTGTATTTTTTATCTTGAAGGAGGATTTAAGTTTATTAGATATGTTTTATGATTTTCCAAGAAGAAGTTTTAGTCTTAATGCAATATGCAAAGAAAATAAAACATCTAAGGGAGACTAGCTTAGCACTACCCTTAATGTAATCATACAATGATGGCCCTATGGTTGAGTTTTGAAAAGGGGAATCTCTAACCTATGTGAGCATACATGGATAAATATCCTAATGTCTAGCTTGAGGACTAACCCTACACGAGCAAACCTAAGTGAGCATGGAAAATACCAAACAAGTGAGCAAACAATTGCTTTGGAAAAATCACACAATCGGGTATACTGATTCAGGGGATGGGGTATGAAGAGAAAATGCTTTAGCTAAGGGGAGCGGATCACCCGAAGCAAAAAAGCGGGAGACGGATGAAATAAGAAAAATGTGACGTCCAAAGCGACTGAGAACCTAACCAAGATATAGAAGATCGAGGTATAGGACAGAAGAAAATATGAATGTTCACAAAGTGTTAGCATCAGCCAATGCGAATTCTTGATATAATGTGGGTTTGATTGCAAAACCCTTCCCCACTTGACGACTCGATACATATGATCTGTAAGACTCCAAAGCATCGACGTACAACATGAGCTAAGGATGACACGGACTAGAATGTGCCGGGGTCGATTGTGAACCCTCCCCGCTCGCCACCTTTTGAGGACTTATCATCTGTAATGTAATGCGGGCACAAATGTAAACACACGTGCAGAATACCTACTTCAAAGGTAGGATTTTAAACAAATACAGATAGTATACATAAAACGATTCCTTCTACAGGACTTTAAACAGCGACTTCGAGCACACGCTCTTTATTTCCTGCTTCCTACTTCACATGATTTCTAGAAAGCAATATACGCCCCTACTATACATGGTCTCTAGAAAGTGGTAACTGCTGAAATGAGATAAACAAGGGAAAATACCAAACAAATATTAATTTGTAGCAAAGTGTATCGAAACAAAGAAACCCGATGATCTTCATGATAACTTCACCAATCAAGGCAAAGAGTTAGAAATCAAATGCTCGGAATAAGTGTCGAAGCATCATTGATGTGAAAATAAATCACAATTGAAATCTCGAGCATGTCCGCATATCGCACAATAACCCTGCATAAGACTCAGATCTCAATAAGAAAAAGGCATATTGCAAATCTCGAGTAGTCGGAATTCAATTCCTAAAATCGAATAAAAGAAATCTAAAAAATTTTATGTTTGTTTTATTATTTTTTCATGTGAAGAAAAATTCCAAACAAATTGAAATGACTAGCAAAAATCAATGATAAAAAGAATTTCAAATATAAAAGAAGGCTCAAGGGGGTGCAAGTTTACGAATGAGAATGTATCAAATTGACAACATGATTTAAAAGCCTAAACAAAAAAACAATTCGGCTCAATCGAAATTAATTAAACAATTAATTAAATTGAACCATTTTATTTGATACCATTAATTAACAAAATAATTAATGATATCAAACAATATTTTTCAATTTAATTAATTATTCAACAAAAATATATTTTTTGTATTATTATTATTATTTTTAATTGTTGAAAAAAATATTCAAACAAAACAATAAAAAAAATATAAAGAAAGAAAACAAAGAGTTTGGGCCTGAAATCAATAATTTTGTAGGGTGCATGAAAGCAAAGGAGTCCAGGCCCAAGAAGGAGGTCTGTGTGATATGGTGCGTACAACCTCATGAAGTCTACCATAGAGGCGTGCTCTAGAACGTTGGATCCAAATCTGATGGCTGAGAGGATGAAGGTGCATCATATGCTTGATGATCCGACGCACACAAGATCTAATGATGTGATGACTGCCACCTCTGAGGATCTACTGTGAAGATGCACTTCTAGGTTGTTGGATCTAGATCTATACAGATCTAATGGTGATGAGGCGGGGGATCATGGTGGTTATGGTGAATGCACATGCATGAGAACAAGGATGTACCACAATAGCGGTGACAAGTGTCACCGCCTGATTAGCATTCTGATTAGCATTTAATTAAAAAAAACAAAATGTTAATTATAAATAATTAACATAACATCTCTCTCTTCCTTTCACGCTTTCGCTTACTCTCTCTTCTCTTTCTATTTGTTCAACAATAAATAATTAAATCAATAGAAATAGGAAGAGGACAAGATCTGGCACAGTGGTGGTGATGAACGCTCATGGCGGTGATGATGAACATCCACGGAGGAAGCCGGCGGTGATGACATAAACTACTCTAATCATCAATTTTTTTTACATATTCTTGCTCGCCTCTTTCTTCTGATTGCTAATCCACAGTTTAATTTTTCAAATGTTGAACGGATTTGAGTAGATCTTGAAAGGGAAAGTTAAAACCCTAAGTGTTTCATACACGAAGCTTTGAAGGTAATGATGCGAGATATGGAATAAAAGAAGGAAGAAGGGAAGCCGTGATGTTCGAAGATCTGTGATAGGCATCTTTTCCGGTGATATTCTTCTGATCTCTTATTCTTTTTGCGATTTGCAATCTTACTGCTAGCGAAAAAAACTCTTCCTCTTTCTATGTGATCAGAATGCACAATTTCTGATAAGAAAAATTTCTGAAGGGTTTTTGATAGGAAGATGATGAATAGCCTAGGGTTTGTACACTAGAAATCTCCTTGCGATTTTGTGTTGCTTGCTTTCTGAAAATGTTTTTTCTGCCTATTTTGGAAATGAATTTTGTAGAGACTTTCTGTGATTCTTCCAAGATTTGAAGAATGAGGATTATCCTTGGGAAATTATATTTATATATTTGTTGTTCTGAGAAAAAACGGTTAGGGATTGAAACAATCTTGGTTGTTCATTGTGAAAGTTTGTTACAATGATTGGAGGGTGAGGATCTTATTTGCAATGAAGCTTGCTTGAGAAGTTTTGTTGAGCTTGAATATCAACTGAATTTTTATTCTGTGTTTTTGATAACAGGCAGCCTGCTTACTTTCGTTTCCGACTTATCCTTGACATATGTTTTTTGTGTGTTCTGTTGCCATTCTGCTATGTGAACTTTTGTTGATTTTTAATATTCGGCTCATGCGAATTATGTATTGAGCTTTTGGAAATTTTTCTGATATGAAAACATGCTTGTTGGGCTAGAAATGAAATTTCTATTTGCATTCTGTTTTACTTCAGTGACTTGATGTTTGATGAGCTGGACTTGTGATTTCTACTATGCTTGCTGCATATTTTCCAACTGTTTTTATTTTGTTGTTGGGCCAGAACTATGATAAGCCTTTTTTGAGTTTGCAATTCTGATTTGGCCTCTTTGATTTTTTCTTATTGTGAACCAAATTAGATTTATGATTTGTAGTAAAGATGAAATTAGGTCTATGATAAAGCAATGTACCTCTGATTTCTGAATTTGGAACAAATAATATGAGGTTTTAGATTTGGCTTAGCACATGATTGAAAACCAAACCTAAATTCTGATTCCTTTACAAAACCATAATGATGAATCTTGGAGAGGAACTTCTTCTTTGAAAATTCTTTGTTCTTGTTCAATGTTTCTTTGCTAACCAATTTAATTTCATGTTTCATGAGCAATATGGATTTGTGGCAAAGGCAAGACTGGAAGATGAAGAAGCAACGGCTTAGCAAGACTTGGAGGAGTTTGGAGGGAACTTAAAAGAGGGGGATGGAGATCTTATTAGCTTAGGAGTTCCGTTGGAATTTGTGTTGTAAACAATTAGGACTTGTCTTATAATTTAAACTTGTAAAACTATTTGAAGTTTTGATTGAATCAAAGAATGTATGAATCTTCTCTAAACCTTGTTCTGAAGTAACTTTTGTGAAAAGTTTATTGCAAACCTATGGAATAAATAATTAAAATTGGAATTTGTATTCCAATGATTCACTTGTGTATTTTTTGTAATGGTGAATGGCTATCTTGAAATTTGAATGAGCAATGATATAAGAAACTTTGATGAACCATTGGGTGAAGCTTGATTGAACATTAAATGCAATTTTGGAAGAAACTAAGACGAGGTAGTGAATTTGAAAAACTTGAAGTGTTTGGATAGAAAACCTTGAAATTTGAAACTTGAAATAAGTTAAATTTGGTCCTTGATTTCAAAGGGAAGTTACATGACGATGTCCTTTGACAACACTAACACAAGAAGAGTCTTGTATTAGTAAAGCTTTTGAATGATGATGAAACTTTTGACAAGGAATAACAATGTCTTGATTAGATAGAAACTTGTAGCGACTGACTAAAACCTTATCTTAAGCCCACTTCAAACGATGCCCTAATTTCATAAGGAATATAAGGAAACAAAAACAGTATCCCTTGAAGAAGAGATTCCTGATAATCATACCTTACAACCATAATCTCAAAATTCACTGCTTGAGGAAGAAACAGTAGAAACAAGCTTGCATAATCACCGATCCCTTGAATCTCAGGTGCCTTATTGAATTCAATGTATGTTATGCTGATGAAATAAGAAACATGAGCCATTAAAATTTTGAAAATCAAGAGAGTAAATTTTGGGATGCAACAGTATGGCTAAATGCGTAGAATCATGGGTGTGTGTGGAATAATAGTGATTATTATTATTATTATTATTATTATTATTATATTATTAGGATTATTATGATTATTTTATAATAATAATAATTAAACAATTAATTAATTGGGATAATTAGATTATTGTTGGAATATATATTAGAATAAGAACAAGAGAATAGGTCATTACGTAGAAATAGAGAAAGACGCGTATAAGAGAGAAGAAGAGAAGAACACTAGGAAGCTAGGGCAGAGGATTCACCGTAGAGACCAAGAATCAACCAAGAACCTAAGGTAAGGGTGGGGTTCTGACTCTCTAATAGGTGGTATACTTGTAGGAGACGTGGCACAGTTTGTGTATACATGTTTGACTTGTCAGAAGTCGTAAGTCAAACATCAGAGACCTGCAGGGCTGTTGGAACCTTTAGACTTTCCAGAGTGGAAATAGGATAATATATCTATGGACTTTGTGATAGGGCTTCCAAGAACTCCAAGAGGGAACGACGCAATTTGGGTGATTGTTGATAGATTAACAAAATCATCTCACTTCATTCCGAACATTATTAATTTTCCTGTACCAAAGTTGGCAGAGATTTACATTCAGGTAATTGTGAAGCTGCACGGTGTTCTGTCCAGTTTGGTGTTAGATAAAGATCCGAGATTTACTTCTGATTTTTGGAAGAGTTTGCAGAATGCATTGGGTTCAAAACTGCGATTGAGTTCTGTATATCATCCACAAACAGATAGTCAGACGGAGAGGACTATTCAGTCACTAGAAGATTTGTTGAGAGCTTGTGTTCTTGAACAAGGAGGTACATGGGATAGTTGCCTTTCATTGATTGAGTTCACTTACAACAATAGTTTCCGTTCTAGTATTGGTATGGCACCTTTCGAGGCGTTATATGGTCGGAGGTGCAGGACACTGTTATGTTGGTATGAATCCAGTGAGAATGCAGTACTTGGACCGGAAATCGTACAAGAAACTAAGGAGAAGGTGAAGATGATCCAAGAGAAGATGAAAACCTCGCAGAGTAGGCAGAAAAGTTACCATGATAAGAGGAGAAAAGACCTTGAGTTTCAAGAAGGAGACCATGTGGTCTTGAGAGTGTCGCTAGTGATCGATGTAGGATGTGATTTGAAGTCGAGGAAGTTGACTCCTCAGTTTATTAGTCCGTATTAAATTTTAGAAAAGGTGGGGATTGTTGCGTAGAGGGTGTCCTTGCCACCCAATCTGTCGAATTTGCATGATGTATTCAATGTGTCGCAACTCCGAAAGTATATTTTTGATCTGTCGCATGTGATTCCAATGGATGATGTACAAGTGCAGGATGATCTTACTGTTGAAATCGTACATGTGAGGATTGAGAATTGAGAGGTGAAGAAGCTGAGAGGCAAAGAGATCTCTCTTGTGAAAGTGATTTGGGGCAGAGCTTCCAGAGAGAATGCAACGTGGGAGTTAGAGAGCAAGATGCAGGAGGCTTATTCAGAGTTATTTGTCTCAGGTAATTTTCGAGGACGAAAATATTCTAAGTGGGGAGAGTTGTAACACCCTGGTTTAATTTAAATTTTTTTTATTAAAAATATAAGATGATGAGGTGTAGTTATGTGGGTGTATGACTAAATGCGTAGAATCATGGGGGTGTGTGGAATAATAGTGATTATTATTATTATTATTATTATTTTATAATAATAATTAAATATTTAATTAATTGGGATAACTAGATTATTGTTGGAATATATATATATATATATATATATATATATATATATATATATATATATATATATATATATATATATATATATATATATATATATATATATATATATATATATATATATATATATATTAGAATAATAACAAGAGAATAGGTCATTACGTAGAAACAGAGAAAGACGCGTAGAAGAGAGAAGAAAAGGAGAATACTAGGAAGCTAGGGAGGAGGATTCACCGTAGAGACCAAGAATCAACCAAGAACCTAAGGTACGATTTGCGTTTTGAGTCTCTAATAGGTGGTATAATTGTGGGTAGGTGAAGGTTTGAATGTAGGGTTTTGGGTGTAGAATAATTGTTAAATTGTTGTTACAACTGCTTATAATTGATGAAATTGATGTATTGTTTGTGTTAGAATTGTGGTATATGATGTGTGTTGATTATTTGGAATAATGGATGCATTTGATCTTTCATTAAAATAGGTTTTTGGGTGAAGAAGATAGGGTTTTGTAGCAGAAAAATCAAGTTTTTGGGTCTTCTCGCGATGGGTAATCGATTACCATATGTGGGTAACCGGTTACCGTTGTTTGTGTTTTTAAACAATTGGATACTGACTTGCAGTAACCAGTTACCATAAGTGGGTGACCGATTACGGCGAAAATTTTTTAAAAGAAAAAGTTTATTATCTTGCGGTAACTGGTTACCATAACTGGGCAATCGGTTACCACTGCTACTGACAACATTTTTGGAAAAACTTTTAAAAATCATAACTTTCTCCTCAGGTGTCCGTTTGACGCGTTGTTTGAACCGTTGGAAAGCTAAAAATATTTTATACATTTTGGTAATAATTTTGATAACAATATAATAATGTTTTATTGGAAGAATTTTGATGTGTGTGTATGTTGTATGTGTTGTAATGCAAAATGTTGCGATTAATTGTGTCGATGTTGTATCAATGATGTGCGAAGGGATTACAGGTGATATTGCAGTATTGTAAAATGATATTGGCCTGAAATTGGCGTGAAGTTGATGATTACACTTGTGATTGCATAAATATTTTGTAGCATGTCGCATTTCATGCATCGTTGAGGGCTTATGGCCTGGCCTTTATGGCAAATGTTGAGGGCTTATGCTTTGACCTGTACTGGAAATTGTTGAGGGCTTATGCCCTGGCCTACATGGAAATTTGTTGAGGGCTTATGCCTTGATGGTACCACATGCATTCTGCATCAAAGTCAATTGCATTACATTGGTTGAATTGTCAAATCGTTGGATCGTTGGATTGTTGAGTTGTTGAATTATGATCTTGTGGAAGTGGTGTAATATATTTGTTGAACTTGAATATCTGCATGATAACTGTTGTTTACTTATAATTATATAACTTATTATATTGTTATGATATCTCACCCTTACTGTTTGAATGTTGCCTCCACGTGGGTAACGTGCAGATAGCCAGGAGTAGTGCGAAGTTGCGGAGTCTAGAAGAGGTTGCTTTCTCTTATTAAGTGAGTGTCATTACTCTGATACGTAACACTAGGGGGATGAATGCTTGATTGTTTTTATTTAAGTAATGTACTTTGATGATTTTGGGGAGTGTTGTAAACTCTCTTTTAATTGATTTCATTGTCGACTTATAATGGTTGAAGATTTTAGAATGATTATGGAATTCTTTTTGTTGCTTCAATACATTTGAAATTTGAAGACTATGTTGAAATGTTGTCGGTTCATCCGAAATATGTGTTATGTATATGTTTTATCTTAACTGAGCAAAAATGAATATGTTGAATGATGTGACATCCTATTTTTTGTTGATGCAAAAAATTTAATTTACTCTGATTTTTATTAAAATTACCGTTGGAGAAATATGGTTTTACACTTTACACCAACGTCAGTAGGGCTACTGGAATAGTATCAACTTGGAAAGGTGAAATGGACAACAAGGTTGCTAATATTGGTAAGGTTACCGAGAGACATTGATCAGGTGATTGGAAAGTGTGAGGCTGCTCACGACTTTTACATAAGGCTGCTTATGATTTAGTTTGATGAAGAATGCTTGTACGACAGACTCATTGGGAGGAGATGTTACTGACTTAGCTGAAGTTTGCACGTAGACCAAGAAAGTAATTCCCCTAGACATTGACTTTGGATTTTTTTACGGGGGGTCCTAAGTCTTGGTCTATGATATGTCATGTATGCATGAAGATGCAAGTATTAATGCATAGTATGTAATGATTGACCAATGCAAATAATGAGCGACTCAGATACGCGTAAATGGATGTTAGATTTTTGATGTGCCAATGAGAATTGGGCTTAAGTGTATAA